CCCGCCCCCGCCGCCGCCCCGCGCCACCGCATCCCACGCTGACGGCCCAGGAGCTCGCGGCTCACGAGGCGTACCGTTTTCGCGGGGCGTTCCAAGGCGGCGCGGTGTGGTGGTGTGGCTGGGGTGTTATCTTGAGCAAGGGCGGCGCGCACGCGCGTACGGCCCGCTGGCTGCTGCTGCTGCTGCCGCCGCTGCTGCCTTTTCTTTTGTCCCTCCCTTTTGTTTGCTTTTATTACGCAATTGCAATTACACGGCACGTAACTTACATTAAGGTGTAATTAAATGTATATTTATGACGTGCGTCGTGATAAGTCTTCTTGAGGCGCGGCGGTGGGGCCCTTTTGCTCGGAGTGATGTATCGTCGCCCTGCTCCTCTTCAGCGGGGGATCCGCCACCGCCGGGGGAGTGACAAGGGCGGCACTTTTGTGCTTCAAACCCGCCGCGCAGAAACACCAATGGCTCGACATCGACACACTGAAAAGTAAAGAAGAAGTCAAGCTGAGCGGCAGAGGGTAGCATTTCAGGGAGCGGGGGGAGGGGGAGGGGCTCTTAAAGGCAGTGTGATGCCATACCGCATTCGAACCCTGTGTATATCTATTTCACTCGCTCTCACTATGCTCGGCTCGCATCTCAGCAGAGCTGCGATGAAGACGCCTTCCGGAGCCACCACCTGAGTGCCTGTCCCCTCCACGCCCTGCCCCGCCCCGCCCTGCCCCGCCACGCCACTGCGCGGCGCCACCTCGGCTTCGTAGTACGGCAACCACCGGCGGACACAACAACCGATCCGAGTTTGAGGTTATGGCGGCATTACATTCTATGAATAACGTCTTGGAGATAGCCCCGCCGGCCCTGCCCCGCCGTCGCGCCCGCCCGGCCCCGCGCGCCGAGGCATTGGGGACCTGGCCATGGCGAGGGGAGGGGGGCTTAGGAGGAACCGGGCCCGGGGGAGGGGAGGAGGAGGGTGTCGGAGGAAGAGGAGATGCCGATATTTATGTGCTATTGGAGATTATCAATGCTTGTGCGTTGCAAGGCCTCCCTGTCTGCCCCGCCGGAGCAATGCTGGATATGGGGGAAGGGGGGGGGGGGCTACGACATCAGAAAATGGCCCCGAGAGAGTGAGAGAGAGAGATTCGTCGCTATAGAGAGGAGAAAGAGAGAAACCGAAA